GAGCTGCTATAACTATCACTTACAATCTTGATCAATGGAGGACAGGGGTCAGCAGAGGTCAACAAGACTTTATAGGATGTTTCAGAAAGAAACTTACAATATTAATCATACATATAATACTGAAGTCCTTTTTGTTCAGCCTGAAAACCAGACTCTTATAATTCTTTTTATTAATACAAATTAGAAACAGATGTTTACCCAGAGTTTCCCAAGACCACTGAATTATATACTAGTTAAAATCTCTCTGAATCCATTCTGATCCACCCAGATACAACATTAGGTTTGTACTAATGAATAATGAAGATGAGTAAATGTAATAAGGGTAGCATTTATTTATTTTTTAAAAAATAGATTGAATACGTTATTGAATTGTGTTTGATTAAAATAATTCTATACTGTCCTTCATCCAAATGGATCTCATAGCAGATGTACAAGACATACAAAACTCTTCGAAGTATAGAAAATAGCATATATACATTAAAAATTAAAAAGACCAAACCCAACTCATGCTTTGGATGTAAAACAGACTAAATCATTATAAGAATAAAAATGATTAAGCAAAACTGATCCAGTAATATTATAATGTTACTGCTAATTATAATTCAATTATTTAGAAAACTTACACGGCTCCTTGTGTGGTACATGTTAATTGTAAGTGGTTCACAGCAATAGTCCATAAAAAATGAAATATAAAGCCACAACATGCAGTACATCATTCTTCCCACCAAAGTACCAGAACATCTCCTCAACTCCACATTCGCTGGGCTCACTTCCATCCTAGCCCAGTGCTTGCATGAACAGGCAGGTCTTCATGGCCTCAGGAAGGATAAGAGGATGGGGGCAGAACTCAATAAGCATTCTGGATATTTCTGTCTGCCTGAAAAGTGAAAGCTGGTGTGGTGGTCAAGCAAATGATAGGATGAAATACATGGTTGGCTGCTGGATTACATTTTGTGCAGATCAAATCTAATGTCAGGTTATGTCACCTCTTCTCTTCTAGCATCTCTTATAACTCAAATGAAGGAAGGGGAATAATCTATCATTGTCTTTAATGCTTGTAGAGGACAAAAGGTACTGAATGATGGTGACTGCTCTTTTGATACCACCAGAACGATCACTGTCAGTGGTGTAATTCCTGTTTATTAATACATTAGAAACTTCAGCATTGCAAATATGAGAAAGAAGCACCCGAGTGATCAAAGAAAGGGTGGGATTTCAATATTGCTGTTAAAATTTACTTAGTTGAAGTCTAGCTGTTGCTGAAGTAACAATGCTCTTGTTGGACAGCTCCCTTCATGAACCTGAGTAATCTGATCTTTGACCTACCACTTTGATAAAAGCAGAGGTTAAACCTTTTGGCCTGAACAAATCATATGTATATTATTGCTCTTCTACTTTCCAACAAGAATATTTAAACTCCAGTATAAAAATTCAGAGATATCATAAGCAACCTGTCACTATGATTCCAAAAAAACTACTTGTGAATTTAAAAATTAGTAGCTCATTAGGCAAATTGAAAGTTCTTCCAAGAGTTGACTACTACTACTACTAACCCATAGAGTCTTGCTAAAATTCTGAAAATTGCAACTTTCTTTTGGAAAAAGAAAGTTCAGCTCTTGTGAGTACTTGCTGTGCCCGTATCACTCACTACAAGCAAAAATAGAAAGGCATCCATTTGTTTCCAAATGCAAAACATACTATTTTTAAATGTTCAGAATTGCAGAGAGGCTCTGCAAAAACCATGAATTTGCAACTTGCACAAAGATACATTTTCAGTTAAAAAAATGAATAGAAATGTCTCATATTGAACAATTAACAAAGTGTGAAGTTAATAGTAAAGAAACAATATTCTGCTCATGTAAGTATTTGTGATATTAAGGAGGCTAAAATGCTAAAATAACAACCAGATTAGTTAAATCAATTCGTCTTGATTCATTTGTGGGTTTTTTTTTAAATCTCCAGGTTCTGTTCAACAGAGACATGTTTTATTCATCCCTTTTATTTCATATACTTCTAAAATGTTCGTTTTAAAAGTATCTGACATTTAGGGATATGACTGGAAGTCAAAAGATGCCCCTTTTTTCTTTTTTTTAATTTTTAAACTTTAAGAATTTAACACTTAAACAGTGTTCTTCCACTGAGGTTGAAGGTTGCTATATTTGCCCATTTTATTTGTCTTCATGATGGAATATCATTCTAGAAGGGTTCTGGATATAGGTGCCATGAGCATAAAGTCTCTCTCCGTCTGGCCACAATTGCACTAAGACTGGTTAGTTTTCAGCATCATTTAAATACATGGCTGACTCCATGCTCATGTGTCATTTAATGCAGGGGTCCTCAACCTTGGCAACTTTAAGACTGGCTGAGGAATTCTGGGAGTTGAAGTCCATGAGTTTTAAAGTTGTCAAGGTTGAGGACTCTGATTTCTGGCTTAACCTTTGCAATTTGGTACAAATTTAATTTTTTGAATTAAAGTGAGTGTCCTGGTTAAAATTATTTCATATTCTGCTTTAAGATTACTACTATATGATAGTGCTTTAGGATTATGTTAGTAAAAAATTGACTATAAATATATCTGTGTATTTACACAGACAGGGACATACAAACACACAACATAAACTGTAGGAAAGGAAAGGGGGAGATAAGAAAACACTGTTCAAACAAGCATACTAGAATAATACCATGTCCCTGGAGGCTGCTCATTGCAACTATAGAAACACATACTGAGGAGGAACAATAGAACTTAAAAATAGAAGGAAAGGAGGAAAGGCAGCTACTCCTTGTCTCCTGGAAAATTTTATATCCCAGTTTTAAATCTATCTTTCTCCCTTCTCTAAAATGGCTAGGGAAGGAGTTTGCATGAGTTGGGATAGGCTTCCTGTTTGGGTCTTCTCATTCTTCCTTACAGGAAGAATGTAAGGCCAAAAGTCCACTTAATCCAGCACTTTGTTTCTCTCAGTGGATTGCCAGAAGGCTCTGGGAAAGCTCACAAGCAAGACAGGAATACAAAAGTGTGTAAGAGTGTGTAAGTTTACTCCCAGACATTTCAATGTTTGAAGCCAAGGCAAGGCACACTCTCAAGTGAAGTTAAGTCCGAGTATGTTATTTTGGCACATGGGACAGAAAATTCCACAAGTGCCTTTTCAATCTCTGGCAATAAGGATACAATAATAACAATAATAATTTAGTTTACAATTTGCTTGTTTTTTGTTATCAATACTGGCTGCTTAACGGGTCTACTGCTTAATTTGCCTAATAACAGGATTGATCTGAAGATAGGCCCAGAAGTCTACATACTGATTAATATTTGTGAGTAAAAGTACCACTATAATCAAAACATTGTTGTTCCATTTTAAAGAGCCAAGCAAATATACCTTACTTTTTTTTCCCCCGAGTGATGCCTATGTGAATGTAAATAATACCCATCTAGAAACAGCCTGTTTACAAAATACACAGACATTCCTACTTGCTGACTGGGTAAAGGACAAAAAAAAATGCTTACATCAACATTTGAAATCAAAACACTCTTAGCTTTTTAATAAATATATTCCAGCAGTTCAAAACTCTTCTGGAGATTATTAAGAAAGAATAAAATCCAATGTACTTTTATTTACAATAAAATCCAGACTGTTTTTGATTATGCAGAAGCAGCTAAAAAAAACAGGTGTGTTTGCAAGAAAGTGGGCAAATGAGAGAATATAAACTTCATTAGCCACTGACCATTAACCAATATACATATAACGATGTGTGTGTGTGTGTGTGTGTGTGTAAACATATTGCTTTTAACACTTCTTAGCTGCCCAAAATTATTTCATTAAAATGGGCAATAATATATATTTGTGTAATAAATGTTAGAGATTTGTTTTCAAATCAATATGCTGGTTCTATTTTGCTTCTGTAGTCTTGTGGTCATAATAGTATAAGTACCAAGTTCAATAGACAAATCATGCAAATACAGTTCAAACTAGTTTATGTTCCAAATGATGATCAATGAACCAATGCATTCAGTTTCTCTGAAAAATCTTATAGACTATTAATAACATTCTACTGCATGGTTTGGGTAGGGGTGTGTGTTTTGTGTCTGTGTGTATATTCATGCAAATAGCTCTGAACTTTCTAAAAAAAAGAGAATAAAATAATCATCATTGAACATGGTACAAGTATATCCTGACAATATGCTGTACACTCATTATTGTGATATATATATTGTCAGTCAAAACTTGTACCATCTCCCACAATAATTATTATTTTATTCTCTCTTTTTAAGAAAGTTCTGAACTACTTGCATGAAACTTTCAAGGTTGTCCTTTAGGCATTGATCAAGGGTACAATCTCCTGACTGCAGAAAAACACAGAAAGAAACACAGTATCAGATTTATTCCATCGCTGGCTGAATACAAAAAACTAACCTGTGGCATGCTGCTATAGCAGAATCACAGAGAAGAAGGAGCCACTTAGGCCAGACTCTAACCTCTTGTTCAATACTGGAATCCAAATTAAAGCATCTTTAACAACTGGCTATTTAATTTCTGCTGGAATACATCCAGTGAAGAGGCCTCGGCACTTCTCTAAGTAATAGGTTCCCTATCTAAATACTCTTTCTGCTGGGAGCTGGTTTTTTTTTTCATCTGTCAATCATCTGGGAACTTTGTCCCAAAGGTGCTTTCTTTCAATAAGCAACTGGGCTTTCTTGTTCTTCTGAAGAAGCTTCTTGGATGAGAAGGGAAACTCTTCAAGCAAAATAAGAAAGTCTAGTTGCCTTTTGAAAGAAAGCACCTTTGAGACAGCCATGACCTGGATGACTGAAAATCTCCATAAACATCTGGGAACTTTCTTCTTAGAATGTGTGCATGCCCACACATATAAGGGAGTCCTTGATTGGCTTAGCTTCCTGTGCCCCAGACACACAGAAATCTGTATATTTGGATAAAGAGCTCTTGATCAAGCTGAAATATATGCGTATATCTTTGAGTGAATACAATAAAATCTAGCAGTCTTACCTTCACCTGAAGAGCCTGAAAGATCTATGATGACGTACACTCTTCCTTCTGGCTCCAAATCAATCTGCAAGAGAAAGGAAGCAAATATTTATTATTAGAATTCCACTGTGTTCTTTTCATAGGGTGTGTTGTTTTCCTGAGAATTCTTACAGGATTCTCAATGCACTCTAGGCAGGCATTAGCTTAAAGGATTTGGGGGGGGGGGGGAGAATAAATGCCATTGAAGCATCATAAACCAACCTTAGAAAAGGTAAAAAGATTTACTATAAATATTTAGCTACATTTCTGGATTTGGATCTCATAAGACCATTTCCTTATTTAGAAAATGAGTAAGGATAATACTTCAATTGCTTCAGTGTATAGCTTTACCTGTTCCAGAATTTTAGAGGAGATAATACAAATTAAAACCCAAATTTAAATAATGCAGACCATGATATGTTACAACAATGAAAACAACCGATGGCAAAATCTTCGTAACTTTGTCTGTTTAAGAGTGGGTTGTCAGAGATCTGCCCAAACTTTTTTTGATAAATGAAAAATGGGTCCAACTTTTTATATTGGAACTGTTTAAAAAAGAGATTATAAGACTCATGCAGGCATTGCCACATTTCTACAAATAAGGTATTTATGGAGCGCATCCGTGATGGGCTCTGCAAATATCTGTTTGCTTTTACAAATGCTAAATCTTTCCTTCTAGGTTTAAGGACAGGTAATTTCCACCAGATATTACATGAGAGGGATAAAGATATGTAAGTATACATTACTATGCTGCTTTATGCCTATACTTGATAGATGTCAGAAGGAAAAATGTGCAGCATAAAAATACCTAGGAAACGGCATAGACAAGGAGCAACTAAGGAAAACATATCTTTAAATGATTTTTAGATGCCTTGTGTTGGCACACAGTTGGTAGTTTCATATTTATTTATTTTTTGCTGACTTTGGAGATTTTGATGGGACACGAGAGACATTTGAATTGTTTCCTATGTAGTGGCTATTTTTCAGGCATTTAACACAAGACGTGTGCTTATTTGTCATCAATATATGGTTCCTGCAAGGTGCAGCCAATGTCTCAAAAAAAAAATTCTTATTATTATTGTTGCACTTTTATATCAGGAATGGACATTTTTAAAGCTAGTGTGATCTACTAATTCTAAGGTTCACCAACCAGAATCAAATTAAAAACAAAGCCATAGAAGCTGAAATGGAGGAATGAATAGATTATTATGTTCATAGATCAGCATAGACACATTCCAAATAGAAATAAAATACTCAGATACAAACTAGTTTGGAAAATCAGTAAAAAAAAAAATAGAAATGCAGGTAGTCCTTGAGTTATGACTACAGTTGAGGCCAAAGTTTATATTGCTAAGTGAGAAATTTGTTATGTGAGTTTCTCTCATTTTATGACTTTTCTTGCTATATTTGTTAAATAATCACTGCAATTGTTAAGTTAGTAACATAGTTGTTAGGTGAATCTGGTTTCCCCATTGACTTTGTATGTCAGAAGATTGCAAAAGGGGATCACAAGACCCCAGGACACTGCAACTATCACAAATGTGAACCAGTTGTCAAGCATCCGAATGTAAATCACATGACCATGGGGATGCAACAACGGTCATAAGTGTGAAAAATGTTATAAGTCACTTTTTCAGTGCGGTTGTAACTCTGAATGGTCACTAAATGAACTGTTGTAAGTCAAGGACTACCTGTAAACATAATACATAAATAACAATCTTATGAACAGTTCTTTTTTCTTTGTTACCTGAGCAGAATTCTTAGCCAAAATTTAGCCATGAAATTGCCTAGCTTCTGTTTCTACCAGTTCTTTCTAAATTGCTACTGGCTTCACATAATCTTTCAGCCAGGAAAAAAAAGGTGTTTTACCAGCTGCTGGCTGGCTATAGGCTTTCTTCACCTCTTTTGGAGTGGAGAAACTGCATGGTTCTGCTGCTTCTTTAGTTTTTAGAGTGCAATAAAGAAAAGAACAACCTTCTTGGAAACCTGCCTCTCTTTGATCAGGATGTTCTCAGTTATAATCCAGTCCAAATCCATAGTCCTCTGCTGCATATAGCAACCTAAAATGGTGGTGTAGAGAGCATAGAGAATGGCCTTGAAGGACAGTGGAAAGATCTGTTATCAAGGCAATGATCAGACAGGTGGGGCTTAAGTCCATTCCAAGAAACTAATCTGAGAAAACAAGTCCCTCACTAATTCACATGAAGATAAAGTGAAGGAGGAGGGAATTTAGAATTGCAAAATTCAGTCTCTATATCTGTTCTAATTGATTGTGACTCTATACCTGTTTAAACTGATAAGGCATTTGTTTTTAGTCTGATCCAACCTATGGGTTGATAAGCGAAGACAGGAATTAGAAGCAGTGGGTGAAGGATGTGAGGCACTGACTAAAGAGTTGTAAATTACCAGAACAGAACTACATATTTGGATCAAGAGGCGTATATCAATTGGTTTCTTGTCTCTCTCAGGGTCTGCCTTTTTCTCAGTCCATTATAATTATTTATACGTCTTTTAAGAGATAGCACATCTTGTACTGAATGAGTAGGGGACTATTTTTTACATTCTCTAAACTGATATTCATTTGTTTCTTGAACACCTGACATTCATTGTTAAGTCATGATTGGTCAAGTAAGGACCATTAACAATTATATAAGCAGAGCTAATAAAAACAGATAGAATTGGCTGAAGGAGCTGCATCAGAATGACAAGAGACAATAAATTCTTCTTCCAGAATATCTAATTGTAGTTGGTATGCAACATACCCAGACCCCTAAAGTCTCCAACATTGTCCTTGGATTCTCTGAATCATTCTACCTCTATGATGATATTTTAATAGCATATTGTCATTCAAACCTAATCTGGCACTGATTAGGATTGGTTTCACCTTGGCTGGCAGACAAGAAAGCCTGGGAACGCATAAAAACAGTGAAGCAAGGAAGGAGACCAGTCACTGAATACATTGAAGAATTCAGAGAGCTGGCCAGTCACCTTCGCTGGCCGGAAGACATCCTGGTAAGCCGTTTCCAGGATGGACTCAACGAAGAGCTATATAATGCCTGCATAGCTTGCAGAGCCCCGGGACAGCTGTACAACTGGTGCCCGCTAGCTGAGGAAGTAGAGATCGATCAACACAAGCACCTATATTGCCCGGTGAGACCCTGGAGAGAGATCTCTATGGATTTTATTGTGGAGTTGCCTGAAAGTGCTGGAAACATTGTAATTTGGGTTGTAACTGATTTGTTCTCTAGACAAGTTCATTTCATTCCATGCCCCAAGATCCCAACTGCAAAAACTTTAGCTAAACTCTTTGTGCAAAATGTATATCATTTTCATGGGGCACCACAACTTATAATTTCAGACAGAGGGGTTCAATTCACCTCTAAGTTCTGGAAAGCTTTTCTGGATTTGATGGGTTCTAGTCAAGGGTTATCATCTTTGCATCATCCTCAAACAAATGGGGGGACAAAGAGACTGAACTCAGTTCTAGAACAATACATGAGATGTTTCATTAATTATCAGCAGGACAATTGGTCTGACCTGTTACCATTTGCTGAGGTGGCTTATAATAATGCTGTGCACTCCAGTACAGGTTTCATTCCATTTCAAGTAGCTAATAGTCAAACATTTGTGGCCATGCCTGAACTCCCTATCAAGGAGCCTGAAATCCCCTCCTTGCAAGAATGGATTAAACAGTTACAAAATACCTGGCCAGTAGTCAGAAAAGCTCTGGATGAAGCCAGAGAAGCCTATAAGACTCAGGCCAATAAATGGAGGGTGGAGCAAAAACTATATAAAGTTGGTGACTGAGTATACCTTTCCATTAAGTATTTGCAAACTTGACAGCCTTCTAAGAAATTAGGCCCTAAATTTGTAGGACCTTTCCCTACAGAAAATCCACCCTGTTTTCCACTGCAGTTCACTCAAATCGGAGGTTACTTCTAACCTTAGGCCTCCTACACCTCAGGCACCCACACCTATCATGGTTGAGGGTGAATAACACTTTGAGATTAAGGACATTTTGGACTCTCGAATACACCATGGGGTGATGCAGTACTTAGTAGCTTGGAAGAATCTCCCTTCTGCCCAGAATGAGTGGGTGTACAAGAAACATGTTAGAGCCCCTAAACTTCTAAGATGTTTCCATTCTCAATATCCTGATAAGCCTAATTAATATGCCTGTATTGTTTGTTCCCCTCCCTTTTTGTCTTTTAGGTGGATTTCCCGTTCTTTTAGGGGGGGGCATATGTCAGGTCCCCAAATCCTTATTGTCTTCCTTGCATATATACTCTTGTGCTTTTGCTTTGGGGCCTGCCATTCTGCTGGGGGGAGGGGGATATTTGCTTTCACTTGGGACAACTTTCGCTTTCTGTTTTTCTTCTCCCACCTCTATCCACTTGAGAAAGGAATGTGTCTCCCTTATCAGGGAGACAGTTACAGAGAAACAAAACTGGAAAAGATCTCGAGATGCACGCCAACTGTGCCAGTTACCCACACATTGTGCCACCTGTGGATTTCAAATGGACATTATGACTTTGGTGGGAGGAGGAATATTGCTGGTTTAACTATACCATTTAAGCGGGATTTTCCCCAGATCTCGCCTTGACTTCCCTACTATCACTAACCCCTAATAAAAATTTCCTTTTGAGACAATGCCTGTTTCAAGAGTTCTGCTTTCTTGGGTGGTTAGCTGAGATAGATCCTTACACTTAGTATAAGTGGATGGGAAGTGCAGCTGAACATTATTAAAGTAGATTTTTGCTTTTGACGTCTAAACATGTTGAGTTCCTACTACCAACAATTCGTCATGACATATGGTACATATATATGTAAGAATTTCTCGTTCACTAGTACCCTCTTTAAATCCCACTATCCAATATGTTTTCATAGTTTACCTACATTACCTTACTAGTAACAAATCTCTGACTCTATACCTGTAGGTTCTGACGTACTTTAGAGTGAATAAGAATTCCAGGAACTGTGAAAAAAGAAAAAGGTTTATAATCCTCAATATACAAATCACTAATTGCCAATTAAACAAAAGCAGCAAAAGGTAATATAACTCCTAAAGGCAGGGTGTCCTGTTCAGACCTTCCATCCAGTAGTATTCCAGGAGAGCAGTCACAATGATTCAGGTAATCTTACAAATCAACTGGACTTTTCAGAGTTATACGAAGGAGGGCCCTATATGTCATGCCTTGAACTAGGCTGGGGGAATCCAGCATTCTTAAAGAGCAATTAGATTCTTTTGGTTCTTTACCAGCGGTGGGATTCAAATATGTGAACAACCGGTTCTCTGTGTGGATGCCACTTCCGGAAATCCATTCAGGGCCTGGGCAACAAAAAATTAGCTACCGGTTCTGCCGAAGTGGTGTGAACTGGCTGAATCCCACCACTGATCTTTACTCTGTAGCTATCTATTCATATAGTCACAGACACATAGCTCAGTTTGGAAAAAAAAAACGTGCAGATAGAGACTTTGATTCATCCCTGGGGCAGTTAAGGAAGAGCAAAGATGTATTCCCTGTTAAAGACCAAGAAATGAATGTTTTACATTATGAAGGATGGCTGAATCATGATGTAAATGAGGTGACTGGATATAATTAGGCTCATGCCAAGTCAGGTTGCGTTCAGCTATATCGTCACCATTTAAGCAGGGAACAAAGCAGATAGGTCTGGTTCTAGCAGAGAGAGCTCAAGAAGGCTTAGGTGGATGGTTTGACTGCCATCACGTGACTTTCAGCTTTTAGATTTTAGAATCCTCCGACCTCCAAGGTCCCTTCCAACTTTTTTTTTTATATTATTATTATTATGGATCATCACACAGTCAGCCAGATGTTCAGACTGGATTTGGCATTTTGTCTACCTATCGAGTCCTTTCCCAGGACCTGGGATAGGCAGATGTGGATGTTTGATGGTATTACAGATATCGTCGCAGGATGGAAGCAGTTCCTAGTAAGGCCGCCTTTTGCAATTGACTAATAGCGAATTTGTCAATGCCAATGGTGTTCAAGTGGTGCT